CTTTTTTATTATAGCCAGTTATTCCAAAGATACTGACTGAGATGGACTTGATCATGGTGGCCATCTACCCTGCAAGGCTCAAACCCAAATCACTGTTCAAAATCTATGGAGTTACATGAGAGAGGAGGAGTTGTAACTCATTGGACACTGGTACATCTTACTGCAGCTTCAGATAAAGTTTAAAGGGAAGCAATAATAGATGAGATTACTGCTCGGTATGTCAGAGTATTTATTTTTTTTGCAGCACAGTTCCAGTCTCTCTACCTGTAGCTTAAACTATACGCTTGGTTCCACTCTAAACTCCACATGCTGCTGGGCAGACGTTGAGCAGGAAACACCACTTCTCGGTGTACTTGTTCCCCAGCCTGATTATTTCAATCCTACCACCAATTCCAGGGGCATTCATCTCTGTATTAGGAGGTGGAACTCACCTTTTCAATTAGGTCATTTGCTCTTTTAATGGTAAGTAATGGGACTAAGGTAAATATATGGGGGGAAAAAATCCTTCATTATGAATCAGTCTTAATATAGTAGGAACACTTTAATGCTTATTCACGCAAAACATCACAGCAGATGTGATAATACTAGAGTAAATCATTGATAGCAACACAAGTGTTCTCACTGGAATTCAAACGTGGTAATTCTTTTATTGTCTTAATCCATACATTTTAATGTGTATGAGCAAGCAATGCTTCCATGTCAATCTCAGCTCTCTTCTTTCACATACCTAGAGATGCTAGGTATCTTTTAAAGTTAAATAATGAGAAATGTACCTTGGTACCTGTTTTAGTCTCCATTCCCTTTGTTTATTCCTAAGATTACATGGATCATATATGGTGTTGGTAAAAACTTATTCAAAGAACCTGTTTAAATAAAGATCAATTTGCAAATTGTACCAATTACTTTGTACGGACATAGACATGTAAAAAATAGAAAACATACAGGAAAATTTCCACTTGATACATTTGAAAAATATTAAGATTTGGAAAACTTTAAGACATCTGGGTGTACAGCACATGTAAACCATTTTGTTGTGAAACCAGAAGTGATGAATTGCACATTCGCTGGTATCAGCTACAGTATGACAAAGTCAGCTCTTTCCTTTTCATCATTATAGCTGATGCTTCAGCAATAGGCCTTGATTAAAAAAAAACAAACATAAAACCCCAGTTCATGCCTTAAAAACACTTGTGTACAGAACAATAACAGTAACAGCATGTGGATTTAAATAAGCCACAAAAAAAATCTTAACAGAAACAGAATTGTAATGCACCTATCATTGATCAGCTTAATACCAAAGACATCTGGCTCCATTTTGCATTTACTAATATTAATGACATGATATTAAATCCTTCAGCTTTAAGGTTGTGCAGCCCTGGAGTTCCAGACCCAAGATTATATATTATATCATTTGCATACAATTATATTCCTTAGATAATTATATTGCTCAAAACCAAATGCTGACATTTTCAGTATTTATGCACAGTTCCTGACCCGTCTTTCATGTAAAGCTCCATGCCAGGGAAAACCTTACATAGAAATTCAGGGGCATTTACTGTAAGCACAGCAGCAGCATATTATACAGAAACAGAGATAATCACATTGTCTCACTAAATGTAATGTCATTGTCTAAATTAGGAGCTTTGTCAATATAGTGGAAGGTCTCCTAAATTAGATATGCCAGATCCTCTTTTTGAGGATCTCCTATGTTCTAGAGAAGCTAAACTCCATATTGCATGACAATTTCCCATCATATCTCTACATATCTTATCTGAAGTAGCAAGAATTCACAATACTTTAGCTGGGGATACAGACTGTGTTGGGTTTAAGGATCTTTGGCAAATCCTAAATATGGTGTCATGAATTTCTAGCCCTACTTCTATATAGGGCAGCCCTTCTGTGTGCTACTAAGACCAGTAAGATGGTGATTAGTTCTGTGCTATAATTTGTTTATTCCCTGACATTGCTTGTGGTTTCCTTTCTCAAAGGCAGGAGAAGCTAGTGGAGGATTATATGTAAAATTATGAAGGGGGAAGCATGCCACAGAGCTCAGCAGATCCTTCGTTAGACTTGTACTTACCTGGTTCTGACTCCCTTCTCTAGTGCATGGTGGGAGAGAGTGGTGCCTTGATTGCCTGCTCCATGACTGGATTCAGGAAAATCCAGAACTGGATAATTTGTAGGGAGAACAGCCTTATGGGATGCCATTAACCCATCACCCAGCTGCTAAGCCTGGGCCATGCTTGGTTTCCCATCAGGGGACCACAACTGTGAATAAGTGTGCTGCCAATGCTGGGGCAGGGGATGAGCAGACCTTTCCCCCCTGTGGTGGTAAAGCCTCTCCCTGGGGTTTCACCCAGAGTAGGTCTGCAAACACTGGAGATGTAGCTGTGCTACAGCATGAAACTGGTGTTCAGAGAAGGTCTTGTCCCTGCCAAGCATGAGATGCAGGCAGTATATTCTGCTTCCATCACATCACACACTCCTCATGACAGATTAAAAAAACAGATCCCGAAGTTCTTATGTGTGTTACAAAGGGGATTTTTCTTTTGTTTGTGGTACTGGCTTCACACCTTGGCAAGTATTTTATAAAAAAATCATTAAAAAAATGGCACTTCCATGTGGGGAGAATACTTGTTTGGCTTACATGCTAAGATAGACACTGAAGCACATATCTAAGCAGTCTGCCTGCATATGCCCACTCTCCTAAACTGGGACCATAAATAAGGTTTTGTTAACATATTCACTGTGTTTACAAGTTACATTGAGACAGTTATAATCAGTCTCAAGCCTAAGTAATCTATCTCTATATTAGCTTTAGAACATGCAAAAAATAGAGTAGACATCTGTTCCATCTAAGATACAAAGAAGGGGTGTGTTTTCACTAAAAACACTGGAGTTCAAAACTTGGCGTCATCAGTAAAATGCTAATACACATTTTCATATTGTATAAACCAATTGTCTAAATAGAAAAGATTTGATATTGAAGGGGAACCCATCCACATAAAATGAAACTTTTTAAAATGGAATGTAGCCAGTTTCTAAATACATTCAAATATTACAGTGTCTCTATAAATAGAAAACTAGATAGTGCTGAATAGCTAAAGCAGTCCTTTCCAAATCATTCAAGTGTATATATTTCTCTCTCTTTACCATCATTAATACACAGTTGCTTGAGCTACAGCTGTTCTAGCCTTTGGCAACAGTTCAAGTAACTTCCCCTCTTGTCTCCTTTGCAACTCTCCATCTTCCATTCGGGCACCACAGAGTTGCCAGGGCATATCTTGATTTCATAAAGTTTTAGGAAAAATGCTACATGTCCCAAACTCTGTTGGTGTGTGTGCAGCCAATCAAGGAAGCATGTCATAAATTCACCACGGTCCTTTGATTGTCAGTCAGGTAGTGGCACATCTCTAGTCCCAGTGCTATATCCAAGAGAGGCTATGTGCTGGCAAGCTCCCTCTTACTTGCACAGAGCCTGCTGAGAAGGATTTCAGAATAAACTTGATTTATTGGACCTCGGACATGATATGGGGACTGAGAATTTGTTGCATAATCCTGCAGTTGTGATGGCTTGCTTTGACTGCCGAAATATTTCCCCAGTGTATAGTGCCTTGATAACGTCATTGTTATGTGCGGACTTTCTTCAGAGGGATTGGATTTCACCACCTGCAAAAGAAGTGACATATGTGAGTGCTTTCTGCCTGCACCTAGAAAGATACACAGCTGTGTGTACAGAAACGCTGAGAAAGTTCTCCACAAAGCAGGTACTGATACTCTTACCTTGAGCTGCAAGTTACTCACAAACAGTATTTTAGTGGGCCAAAAAGTTATGTTACATACTAATTGAAGTGCAAGGTCTTATTTACTTAAGCCTCAAAATTTAAATGTATAGGCCCATTATACTCAGTTGGTTGATTCTGTATTGTCTTTGTATATTAGACTTTGTTCTTTTCATTAGGGACAATTTATCTGAACAACGTAATTCATACCTAACAGCTTGTTTGTATGTTTACCATGGAAAAAAATAAACTCAGGACAGTCCTGCTTTGCAGGAAGGTTTAAATCCTACTCTGATCCCAAGCACTTGAGGAACATATGCTGTGTCTCAGCTGGGAGCCCTGTGAGAATGTCTCACTCTCAGCTCTTGATGCAAACCTGGCCCAGCTCCATGTTGAGAAGAAAACACTCATGTGTCATGTTTCTTCAAGAAGGGACTTACGGTGCAATTTAACATCCCTCTCCCTGGGGCATCACACTGACATAACCACAATGTGGTTTAGTAACTTAGTGCAGAAGAATGCTCCTCCTTGGCCCCCCAAATATGTACAAAGCTCTGGGATTATCATGTTCAATTTGTACGGAATAAACAAATGCCCATGGGACTAAGAAGAGAGAAAGCGAAAGGTATGGTTTTCATGAGCCTAATGACTGTGAGATGCTGAAAGTCTCGTCTCAGTGAACACACAGTCACTGATGAATAATGAAGCAACTTAAGAGAGACAAAACTTCAGAACCTTGCACAGATGCAGGACAGAGGACCCCGACCCATGCATTGGCAAATCCAGAGAAAGCAGAAAAGGGGCCAAGTGGTTAACTTATTTTTAAAATAGCAAATATATGATGACTTGATAGCTCTGATACCCATCAGTTTTCCTGCTATATCAATCACAGCAGACACTTGAAAAAGCAGACTTCATTTATTAATGCAAATATAATATATATTTACTGTCACCGAACAAACAGAAACAATGTTCATATGTAGTGAAGCTCATAATAAATGAAACAGCTCATAGAAAATTAAATGTGAGTGAAGGAATAACGTGCTTGAAAGACTGGGCAGAGAGGCTATGAGGGAGCTGGCTGAACTAAAAGAAGACCAGGAATTATCCATGTAGAAAATTAATGTATCCTCTGATCAATTTGATACAGCTAAGCCAAGGGCTGTTACTTGTTTTCATGCAGTTACTGCAGGTTCATTTTTCTAAATTAGAGCCTTAGATCTTACTACTATTTCAAAATGATGCCACCTTGAACCAATCACCCAAACAGCATTCCTGTTAGGCATAATCTCCCAAGAATGCAATCTAATGTTCATCCAGCAGCCAGCCACTGATTAAGCTACCAAAACCCCAAGATTGCTAGTTTTTATGCTGTGACCATGATTTCACTGCCATTCAATTAGAAAATAAATCTGAATAAAGAAATAGGTTCCATACAGGTGTGTTTGTTTTGGCTGGGATAGAGTTAATTTTCTTTCTAGTAGCTGGTATAGTGCTGTGTTTTGGATTTAGAATAATATTGATAACATAGGGATGTTTTCGTTATCGCTGAGCAGTGCTTGCACAGAATCAAGGCCTTTTCTGTCTCTCACCCCACCCCACCAGCGAGCAGGCTGGGGGTGCACAAGAAGTTGGGAGGGGACACAGCTGGGACAGGTGACCCCAGCTGACCAAAGGGATATGCCATACCATATGACGTCATGCTCAGCATATAAAGCTGAGGGAAGAAGAAGGAAGGGGGGGATGTTCAGAGTGATGGTGTTTGTCTTCCCAAGTAACTGTTACGCGTGATGGAGCCCTGCTTTGCTGGAGATGGCTGAACACCTGCCTGCCGATGGGAAGCAGTGAATGAATTCCTTGTTTTGCTTTTCTTGTGTACACAGCTTCTGCTTTACCTATTAAACTGTCTTTCACTCCACACACTTTTACCCTTCTGATTCTCTCCCCCATCCGACCGGGGAGGAGTGAGTGAGTGGCTGTGTGGCACTTAGTTGCTGGCTGGAGTTAAACCACGACAAAAGGTCTTTATAACTGCTGACCAATCTATTTCTCCATAAGCATTTGTGAAGAATGAGGTAATTAAAAAATCAGGTTTGCATGTGTGCATAGAAGTAGAAGTGTGTTTGGGCAGAAAGTGCCAGAGTTATGCAGTTGTCCCAGATCAATATAACCCCTTTGTCCGTCCAGATCCCTTGGCAATCTGAGTGAAGATTGTAGGGTCTACAGAGCTGCAGATTTCTATGCTATCAGGGTGACCTGAGGCCCTCTGAAGTGGGTTGGTGGGAACTCAAATAATTTATCAGGGCAATCAGGGGAAATAGGTTTCTGTTTGGCCAGCTAGCGAGAACTAAATGAGCACTGCTGAATGCATTTCAGTTCCTGTTTTCTGACTGCACAGAACGGCCAGTCCTCCGTTCCCGCACATCCGTGCTTTAGCTCAGATGGCATTTACAGAGGGGTGCAGTCTTCTGGGAGTTTAGGAGGTCATTTTTTTAACAGAAAGAAAGTGAAAGTACAAAGCAGTAGATTTAATCCATCTCATCTGGTTTCATAAAACATGAAAAGTGCTGGCGTTTTACACAGTGTTCTTGGCTCTGTCTTTGGAGGCAAAATGCCATTTTCCTAGTGCAAACTGCTTCAGCACCTGATGAAACTCCAATTGCCAGGATGCAGAAATAAACTGATGACAAAACTGTTAAAACTAACGAGGTATCAAAAGCATTCAAGGACTTTCTTTTTGCTTTCCTCAAGGATCAAGTCTGGTTTCTGGGGGCTGATGGATTCTCCTGGGCACATCTATGCCTCTTTCAGGCACAATGGACTCTCAAGCCTCATTAACAACAGCTCCATGAGCCAAATTCTCCCCTGATCCTCCCCAGAAACACATACTTTCTGTTGAGATTCCTCCAGCAGAGAAGTGAGGCCAAATCTGCACATGAGCTCATACAAAATGATGGAGGAGTGCATGAAAAATGCTAATGACTGATCACGCCCTGCTGTTTTCCACCCAGTTCCATACAAAGCATCTCAAATATTTTACTTTGAAGCTCTCAGTTTCACTCAAAAGCTCTGTGGAAATGGTGAGCATCAGCAATGACCCACGAAGACACCAACATCTGGGTTCTAGACAAAAAAGGGTCAATATAGCTGTCTGGGTGAAATGGAGGGAGGCATTTACTCCACGGGACTATTTATCCATTGCGTACATATCTGCTTTGTGACTTACTGCCTCTTTTCCAGCTCCATTTGGATGGAGCTGTGTTCGTGCCTCTCTCATGTACTGAGCAGAGGAGATTAAAGGATTGGTTAACTAACCACGCCTGCTGTGTTTGGTCCCAAAGCAGGACAGAGGCCACGGCAATGGGCTGAAAACATGTGAACTGCTGAGGAGCCTGAGCTGGAAACCAGCTGTTAAGTTGACACACAGCACGTGAGGTCAGACGGGTCTGATAATGCTCCCAAACCTGTGCTCAGACCCAGTGAACCTCGTACTGGAACAGAGTCCCAAGCAGTGGCAGCTGATTTTCTCCCCACTCTGTTTTGGGAACACATTTGTTGTCCAGTAGACTGTCTCTGATATTATATCTCTGTCTGTGATATTTAAGGAGAAAAATCAAAGCTTTATAGCTATCAATTTTTTTATTCTGCTTTATGTATAAAGGTGACTGCTGTGGCTGAGATAATGAAATATAATCCACTGGCTACAAGAAAATAGCTAGGCTTGCTATGCTAGTCTTTGGCCAGCAGACACCGCAAGGACGCTCTAGAGCCTATGCTTGGATTTTACTGTCATCACCACTGAATTTCAGTTTGTTGTTTAAACTATTCCTACATTTACTTAGCCACAGTATATTTTGTTTTCCAATGTATACTGTGGGTGTCTGATGAAGGAAACCTTATTTTTAGATCTTTGCTTTTTTTTGATCTTTAAGGAAAATATATCACAGCTGTCCTGACATTTCTTCACAGCAAAAATTAGTGCTTCCACTTCATTCCTGGTGTCACGGCCCACCTTTGTACCTGTGAAGCTCTACGGAGCTTCTGTGCTAACCCTGCTTACGTCCAGGTCCTGGGAACAGGCTTGGCCAAGACTGAGGCTTACAGAAAAATAGGCATGACTTGGCAAAATAAGCAAAGGGGTTTTATCCTTCTCTTGAGAGATTCAGAAAACATTTGGTGGTCTCTCTTATTTGAAGTAATTTGTTTTGACAGAAAACAAATTCCTAAATTCTTGCTGAAAAAATTTCACTTGTGTGGGTAATAGGCTTTTTCAATATTTATGCACTTTTGATAACTCTAATAAAAAAAGTTCTAGGATTTTCTCCATAAGAACTAACTTGTGGAGTTCTGTCTTCTAAATGACACATTGAATTGCTTGTGTCATTATTCTAGTCAGTAACCAAACTCCTGAGATTTCATCCAACTAGCAGCTTTTTACTGTCTCAAAGCCCCCAGCTGACTGTGGAACACCATAAATTCATTAACTCTTGGTTTCAAAGAGACATCTTTCATTGCATCCTTTTTCCCTCCAGTTTTAACTTTTCGGTTACAATCTCTTCTCATTCTACATTTCATTCTGTGAAAGAAATTGCACCTGTCATCTGTCTTTTGATCACGCAGAAGAAATGCCATCTTCCTGAAAGGTACAACAGTTCAAGTTTTATGGTTCTAAAAAGATTTTAGTGGAATAAATGGTAGTTTCCTAGTCTTTTGTTAAACAGACAACCCAGATTCAGTTCATAAGAATGAAGATCCTTGTAGCATCACAGGCAATGTCTTACTGGGCCAAACATGACTTTTTCTACAGAGCTACCAGAAGGCTTCTCTGTCCTTAGATCTAGCAACAAATTAAGGCACAGGGTTACTGACCATCTCTGAGTGCATGATTCCAGTTTTCACTGAAGAAATATTTTTTTACTGGGAATCAGGAGCTAAGCATCTGGGAAGATATGAGTCTCCTTTACTCCCCAAAGCTTTTTCTGGTTCCCAAAGGGAGTAATGTAATATTCATGGGTCTTCATTAGAGCAATGAATGACATGTTCAGATTCTCAGCAGACTGACCACTCATAAGAGGAACCTGAGAACTGGCCTTTTTTTATCAAGAAGTTGATGTCATGGGTAAGAGGAAGAACTTGGTTGGAAGCTACAGGAATAGTCCGGTGGCCTTGGTGACATTTCTTTAACTATCATATGCAAAATTACTGTCATCAGCGTTATGGCAGAGGATACTCGCTGACCTGACAATTCAAGAATTATACTCTCCGTTTTCATTCAGGGTCACCTGCACTAAACCAGGGGTGCACTTCTTCATTTGCTATACATAAGGTACAAGAAATCCAAAACTAAAACAGATCCCTCCTTTGCTGATGGGGAAGAGCACTCACCATAAAAAGACATACCACATACTCAAAACACATCTTAAAGGAAACCAGAAAAACTTTAAATATCTTGTTTTTCAAACTCTTTCCTTTCACTGGTTTGGCAGCCTTTGGGCTGATTTTGTGCCTAGATATAATAATGCGTTTGCTCATTCGTTTTTGATTTATTCCATGGACTCCTGTCATTTCTAACATATTGTGAAGATTCCTTGCCAGAACTTTGAATGAACAGAAGAATATGTTCTCAATTGCCCTACTCATGTATTTTACCATGTCCCCATTTCACCAGTCCAGTAGCTATAAAACAGAAGACAGAATTTCTATAGATTTCAGACAAAAAAGAAAACAGAACTATGGGCCTGAGATTTCTGTTTGTATAGTTAGTCACTATAACTATTCCAGATAACTCTTTCTCAGACATATGAAAACAGATATACAGCAGTAAGATTGGTCTTTCAGTTTTAAGCTCCATTTTAAATGTACTTGTGGTTTGATGGGAGTCTGCTGACCTGCTTAGTTAGAAAGGCTTAAGAAAAAAAACCTGTGAGACTGAGGTATGGCAAAAAGATGAAGTGAGTTCATGCGGAAGCAGTTGCAATATATAACACGTAGCAAATAATGTAAGAACCTGGAGACTGTGCAACATCCTTTTATACAGGTTACTTTTGCAGAAAAGGATGCTTGTTTTTATTTCAACGAATTGCCACTACAGCAGTTCAGTCCATCTCAGGTGACACTGCCCTCTGAGCGGCAAGGGGCAAGTGCCGCCATACAAACTACTGTCCCTGCAGTTTTTATTCAGGCCTAACTTTGAGTCACAGATGCGAACCTCATTGCACCCTTTTTGTTTCTAAGCACCTGACAGTTAAAATCTCTCTTAAATACCTGGGAATGATAAAAGCATAAACTATTACCTCATGGAAATGGCAGCCACACTTCCCTTGCAGGAATTCTTTGTAACGTCCCATGGTGATGACAAAGGTGTCAACAACTTCATAGCCGAAATTTTTTGCTGTATCCAGAATAACCAAGTTTTCATTCCACAAGTTTTGCACTTCTGCCTGCATTCCAGATAAAATATTGCAATATCTTGTCAGAAGGACTGTTTAAAGGTTATTTTATTCTGCCACGGAAATGAATAGCAAAATTGCATTTTGAATAAAGCAATTATGTTATACTCCAGACATGAATTCCTACAAATTCACTCTTGAAACTAGGTATTACTCCAAGACTGTTGTAGATTTTTGCAGAAATTTCTTAGAATGGGTTTTGCAACACAAAAATAGTTACAAGAAAATCTGAATTTTTTTCCCTTAATTACACAACAAATCAGGTTGATTTCAATAAGATCTAAATCAAAATCAATTTGGCAGTAACTATAATTACTTTTCAATAGTTGTGCAGCTTCCTTCATAGAAAGAGTTCAATGTTGTTTAAAATATAATTACTGGGTAACTGGGTTTAATACATACTTAGCTAATATGAGGTGTAATTCAGACCAAAAATTCCTATTATAAAGTTGTCTGTAACAAATGGTGAAATTGTTCCTGTAAAAGAAAAATTCAGCTTTAAATCAAAGTCATTGAGACTTTTGCTTAAAAAGGAGTATAGGGTCATTAGTATCTTAGAAATGCTTACACTGAAGAACAGATTATTATTTCTCCAGATACTGCAGGAAGGCCAGGAACAGAAAACAGGTTAGCCATATATTTGTCAAGGTGGTGGATTTGACACTGAAGACAGAAGGGCTTTGACAGTAGCTGGGGTAATGCAGAAGTCCAGAGCACCCAAACCACATGGGTAATTTGGCATATGATTCCAATATTGAAAGGGAAAAGAATGTCGGTTATGCACTGTAGTTGATTTCTGGAGTTTTGTAAACTACTGGATGAGAAACAGAAAAAGGCAGTCCTGGGAAGCCTTTAATACTCTTTCTGTCCTTGCCTCACCTACCTTCGATCAAAGTTCTGCTTCTTCCTCCTAGGACTGAACTCCCCTGAAAGCTATGGCAGGAGCTACAACAACATTTCTTCATGTTGAGTGCAACCATTTCCCTACTGTATCCTAATTTAATCATCTGGATAAACTAAGGAAATGGTTGGAATCAATAAGACATTCAGCAAAGACAAGGCAGATAGTACTGACTTAGAAAGAATGGGCAAAGTCTGACAGGGCAGTCTCTGTAGCAAAAGGAAGGGTGAGGGTAACAGTAAGTCACACACTGAATACAGCAGTGTGTTATGGTTGCAAAAAGACATGGGCGCCAGTCCCCAGTGTGATAGGAGTGCCGTACATAAACTATGAAAGCTAATAATTTTCTCTTTTCAACACCTCTGAATAGCTGGAGAGTTACACGCAGCGCTGGTAGGCATCATTTACGCTGTTCTGCCCTCCGGCGCTTCCCAGCCCTGTCTCATCCAGGCATTTTACGAGTGTTCAATAGAGCACCACCGTCCAAATTGTAAATAAAAAATATTGAATTGAATGAGTTACACTGCGCATTGAAATGAGCCCATCTGTTGCTCTGAGAGTCTTGGACATGATTTAAACTGACTGTAACATCCAATTAACATACAAATAACAGACTAGATTCACCGGTACATTCCAGCTGCTCTGTAATGTTCTGGCTTCACAGGTTGGTTAAGATAGATTTATGGAGAGCTGTGCAATGCAGCCAGACCAGTGAATCTGATCCAGCAGTAACCATGGAGGAAGCCTGGGGAGGGCCAGGGCTCGATGTGGTACGAGGAGCAATCTGCCTGTCCCCAGCTCGATTTCTCAACTTTGGCAGCAGGCTTGTATTGGAGCTTCTTCTGGTTCCTGGGATGTCTGACTGAGCACGACGTCTTGAACGGTGCTCTGATTGCAGCGGAATCCACGAAATAAGGCAAATCGGTTTGAATCTGCATCAGCAAGCCGTATGAGCAAATACAAACATTATGCTTTCTTTGATCCGCTTAAAGCTTGCACAGCAGAGGGTGTAACATTTTTTGACCACACAGCAAGATTATTGCTAAATGTCTTCTGTGAAAATGCACTCTAAATATACTGTAGCTTACCTGTGACAGTGAGTGTATTCCATCCACTGGGAGGTGGAAGCCCATCCCTATGGATTTGATAATTACCAGGATATTTGATAGATTTTCCCTGTTTGGCAAATTTAAAAAACAAGGATACACATTTTACTTAACAGACACATCAAAAGACACTTCATTTTTATTTTTTTAAAGTCACCCATGAGAAAACAAATGAAATGTTTGTATTTAAAATTTTTGGTTAAGTTGTTTCTCATAATTTATCATGCCAAGTCTTGGAATAACACCAAGCACATAACATTACCTGTTCAACACCTTTTGGATAATTTGCAGGTGATTGGAATTAAGCCACTGAACACCACCTACAATTAATACGGTCTGGTCTGTATTCTCCAGGGGACGTGATCTGAAACCCAGAAAGGAAAAACAACACATGTTGCCTTAAAACAGATGGCAAACATTTTAACTGCATTGCATTGCATTTCAGTGAACTGTATCTGGCATCCTGATCAGAGGCCTGATGTCATTTTCTACTATTTTTCAACCGCACAATATGGTCTGCATGCGTTATATTTAATTGTTTACTGACTTTAATCGTAAAACGTGTTAAACACATTTGTGACTAGAACGAGAATACAAACAAGCCAGCAATAGAGTTTGTACAGTACCTCTGCAGCAGTTGTTCTAGTGCTTTTTCAAAAGTTGGTCTCTGGTTTGCGTTCATCCAAAACCGAGGGTAGTAGGAGTAACTGATAAAGGTTTTCCCCTCATTGATATTATGATAACACTTAACATCATGAGTCTTTTGCCATTCCTGAAGAGTCTTATTCACTCTTTCTATCAGATAGTACATCATCCCTCTGTTAGTTGAGTCACCTATAAAAAGAATCTTTGGATGGAAAAAAGGATATGACTGACTTAGAAGTTGTACACTCCAAAAACCAAAAGCTAAGAAAAAAATACAGCTAGTCTGGAGGTTTTTAAACCCTTCTCTTAATGTTCAAGAAATATATCTGTGAGCTGCCGGTTCTCCAGCCCTGACATCTCAATACTAAAGTCCTCCTTTAGCAAAACCTGTGAGATCTGATTAACAAAAGGCTATATTATTTATTTCAAAGACAAAAAGTGGCTATAGCTGCACTGTTAGTCCTGCATTTTTCATCCTTGTTGATCATTTCTTTTGTTTAAGTTTATATTTACTTCCAATTCCTAGTACAGATCATCTCATGATGGCTTGCAGCTTCCTGCTTTCGTTCCTCCAGTTTTTCATGTGGTTTGTTCCTACACAGCAAGTCTTGGTTAATGTCTGTCTTCCATAAATGTGATTCATTAGAATTTACACCAAAGTAACACACACACACACACATCAATGGATGCAGCTGCTGCCTTCTTTGTAGACAGATGGTCTTTCTGCAATTTCAGAGGGGGAAGAAAAGGGGCTTATTTTGGTGACAGATAATCTGAACAGAGTCCTGGCATGTGTGATGTGACCGCCAGGAAGCATCGTGGCCTGAAGGGAGTTAGAAGTGCTGTCAGGATGACAGAAGTACTTCAAGTGTCAGCAGTCTTTGTTGGGTCACTCTGAACTTGCGAATGAATGAAGTCAAATTTGGGCTTGCTCCTACCCATTCTGTAGACTCTGCTGACAAATCCCCAAGCATTCTGTGCTCCCAAAGCATTCTATGATTCTATGATTCTATGAAATCAAACATCTCTGTATGTGGAGACCGCAGAACTTAACGTGTGGAGTTTTTAATGTAATTGCCCTATTTTTAGTGGATAGGACTAACATTTCCCCCTGCTGAAGAGAACATGTAAGCAATGACAAGGCTGCAAAAGGGAAGAGAACCTAGGTTCACTGTGGTTTGCCAATGAAACTGTGGGTGTAATCAGTTATTACCACAGTCATCTCAGCCAGAAATCCACATAGAGGAGCATAAATGTAAAACTGGGAGTCAGAAAGCCCATAGAACCATAATACAGCAACAGCCCTGTTCTCTGCGCAGCAGTATGCTGCTTTTCCCACCTCCTCTGGCACTCAGGGTAGTTGGCACCCTGTAAGTTGGGTTTTTGTTGTTTGTTTTTTTAATTTGATTTGGGGTTTGATGCTTTACCACTTCCACCTTGAATATTTGGTTACGCAAATACAATTCAGGCTGCACAAGATTACATATTTAAGAATACATTTCCAAAGCTTCTCTTGGAGGTTTTATGTGGTGAAAGCATCTTAGACTTCTCTCATCTAATACATCTCTATTTATCTATTCCCTTCAGGAATCTCACAGTTTTAGGGACTGATTCCAGTTGCCACCTATTTTGAGTAAAAATAAGCCACAACAGCATACCAACGACGGTTCCCACAGAACAGAAGCAATTTCAGATGAACATTCCCTGAACTGGTGCAAGGGCCAAGAATAGGCATGACAATGACTTGAACATCCCATGCCTTGCCAATTGTGGGTTGCAGAGAAGCTCTTGATAGATTATTTATGGTAGCAAACAAACTAAAAGAAGCACTGAGCATATTAGAGGCTCTTTTACCTCCTGTCCTGGACCTCTCAAAGCTGCTTCACAGAGTAAATTCTTAAACAGCTGCTGTTCATGCTTGGACTGCACAAGCACTTCTGTCACATGCAAGGGGATTTCCAACTCTTTTCACATTGTGTCAGAAGAAACCTCTTTAAACCAAGCACAACATGACTCATAGAAGTCAAGGATCCTTGGATCTTTGGAAGGACCGGTTGGTATTGTCTCTTTCACTTTCTGACAGACACAAACATGCTCACAATTATTTACAGTTAGGAAGACAGACCATGCTTACAATATGTCCTAATTCTAAAGTAGGTTAACTTGAGGTTTTAAACAATTCTTTTAACTTGCAAAATCTCTTAATCTCTTCAGTCTATACCCATGTCTCTTTAATCTCCATTTCATAAGTCCATCACTGTAGTATCTAGATGTATATCTATTTAAAAAGCAGTTCTCAGATATTAGCAGGCAAGGATATCATTAACTTGCAATGTAGGTGAGAACATTTCTGTAAAAACACAGAACATCATTAGCAGAATAACAAACAGGCTCTACCAGGTTACATACACAGAGCAGTTGGTAGAACATGCTAGATTGTTTCTCTTCTACTTCTAATAGCAGATGATACCATTTTGTTATCACTGGGGATTTCTAATTGCAAAGGAGCATATTCAGCTATTAATTACACCTATTTGGCAGATGTGGTGTTTTTATCTCACTCTTCATTCTACTGTGACTAAGAATCTGATAGATATTTTCTCCTTCTAACTGCATTTTGCCTATTCACATCTACCACTGAATTCAAACAGCAGAACACCACCCTTCATGGGAAAAAAAAGAGGAGAACCATGGCCAAGGCCAATAAATATGATGCACAGATGTCTAGTTTTGCCAACACTATGTGTTCTCCAGCAACCGAAGTGTGAATTGTCATTCTAAATATTTCCAATGTCTCAAACATTGCAGAGCATCAAAGACTGAGATTGACTCATCAGCCTCTTTCCCATTTTTTTGTTAGGTCAAAACCAGAGCAAAACACACACCCCCGTCGTCTCCCCCCGCCCCCACCCAAGGATTTACACTATTAAATACTTTAGCACTGTAGGGCTTTACAATTTCTACATGCACACATGCATAAGCAGTGGATCCAGGAGTGAGTTTTCAAGTCTGCCCTGAGGTACCTTGCTGGCCAGGTCTGTGGATGGGACAGCAAACTCCTTTAGAAAACCAGTACCAGGAGAGAAAAGCTACGTAAGACCACTTCTTAAAGCGACAGTTCTAGCCCTTATGTGCCATTATGCTGGGCACCATATGAAAATATCAGGTGGGCCTTGGAATAGTATTATTGTTGTTGTCCTGATGTTCTGAGAACATGAAGGAGATGACAGGAGTCAGAGCAGTTTCTTTTAGAGCAGTCAGTATAACTGGACAAAATAAATAACTGTTAGGGCCCAGGCATACTTCTTCAAATATTATCACAAGACTGATGAGACTGCACACAGCCCATCTCTAAAGGAGTAAGTTATGAGTCTCAGAACATCTCCATTTTCACTCTTAAGTGAGCTAGTTATGAGGAGGTAAAGCAGAAGGTCAGGAAATTAGATCAGACAGCTAATGCTGTTCAGTGTCTGGGTGTCCATCTGGAATGTATACTTATTCCTAGGAGAAGGTGTGGCTGAGCAGGATGAGTCAGGAATGAGACAGATGGCAACAACACAGTGGTGAGGAATACAGGTTGTTTCACTGGGGAAATTAACCTGAACGCTCAGAAACAAGCCTGCTAAGAGAATAGTTAAGACTTGATGTAAGTGGGGAAGAGAGAAATGAGCCAAAGTGGACTTGTGGTTGCACTGAAAATGAGATCAGAAGTGTAGGTTATCCTCAAAGATGTCAGTCAATTATAACAACCATATTAGCTTTCAGTCAAAAGCAACAGTCGACGACTTGACTGTTCAAGTAGTTATGAGCCATACCAGGACTGTATCACTCGAATCATGCAAATATCTTTACTCCAGCTACTTCTTTCACAGTGAAATCACAGCGTTGTTGAAAGATATGTCATTAAAACTAGGACTGCAGAAACCTATGGTGCCTGCCCTCTAGCCCTGATGGAGAGCTCTGAAGTCTGTTTGTAGTCATCATGGGATGGTATCAGCAGTCACTATGGAGACTGCACATGCTGAGATTTTGAAGGGAATGCTCTCCCATAAGTAGAGAGAAGGTCTCAGATAGAAAGATGGGTGTGCATTCCTTGTAAGCCAATGCATCCCAGGCTGGTGGATGCATAGCACAGCAAATCTGCACACACAGAGCACCCGTTCATTAAGACCTTGTCTGCATCCGACAATCAGCCCAACCATGCTGTGAGACATGTAAATCCTGGAAAAATAAACAAATTCTTCTTTTTCTTCACCCTAAAAAAAAATTCCAGGTGGAGGAAGAGGACATTTGTAAATAATCCTACCTGCTTTTCAAACTGCCCTCATGCAGAGCTGGCTAAGGACATTTTCTTGTGGTATGCAGACCATCAGAAAACATCTTTCAAAGCATCCACCTTTTGCAAGTCAGCTTCATTTTCAGCAAATGCTTGGAAGACTCAAAGACTAAAATAAGTGGTGTTTATCCCCAGGAAGAAAACTTCTGTCCTTCAACTAACCCAAGAGCTTCAAAGAATCAGAATAATCATTCAATGTAATTGAATGTGTGGTAGCTATGGCCACATTTACTTCTATACAGTTGCAGGAACTTACTATAGTTATGCATGCCACGTAGTATTTAATATGGATTGAAGCAGGGGCTCTGTGGATGATTCTGTATTTAGCTCTATGACAAAAATGAGCAAAATGATGGCTCAGGTGTGTAGAATATGAAAATTTCTTCACAGTCTGGCACAAGGCTCGGTCATGCACTGTTCAGGTCAATGGGGGATTTGTCTGCAGGATGACTAAAGGATCAGGCATACACAAGTCTATAATTTTACCAGACAAAGAACAACACTTTCATGCAGACGGGTGTTTTCAGTGTCTTCTGTTGCAAATGTTTGGTGTGAAAAATTCCATTATAGCTTACAGGCTTTAAAAGATTGTGTAAGCATACTGGAATTCACTTCTTAACCAGACCTATCATTATAAATTAACCACACTTAGGAAATTTAAACACCTGTAAGTCCAAAACACTACTTAACTTTAAAATATTATTTAGATATTATTAGTTAAAATTCCTGTTTTAACAGCTGAATTTTAAGTACTTCAGCAAATATTGCCTTTTCATATTTCCTGTTCTTAATTACACATGACTCAATGGTACTTTATTATAAGACTAAACTCTGAGTAGTATTTCTCAATGATAAACAAAATACATATCCCCCCTGCTATTGAGGCAAGCTTTCTATACACTGCTAATTGGATAAATAATTACCTGTTGGACCCCTTTTTCTTCACCCATTTTTAAAAGTTCTTGTACAAAAATCAGAGCATCATGTCTTAATAGAACTGTATAAAACTTACAGCAAAAACACAGTAACTGCAGTTACAGATGATTTTGTGGAGCCAATATAATACAGATATAATATTTTTATTATGATTGCCTATTTCTTTGATTCAATTAGGACGTACATGTGGAGTTCACTAAGAACAACACAGCCTGCATCTCGTTACCCTCAGAGTCTAAAATGGAGGAGAAAAAGGACTGCAGATATTAAAAATGGACTGAATGAAAATCTACTCAGCCAGAATCACCTTAGCCTCAATACTTCAGAATTTTCCTGTTTACTGTGTCTGAAATGCAAATGTATGACTGACTAGTCTAGCTAACACATCATAAAGCAAAATAAGGCCTCATAAACAGGTTTTGTGGATGTATATTCTTTCTCATGTCTCCACCAATCGAAGTGTTATTGTTGCACTACAGGTGGTCTTATGTTTTTATGAAACAGAAACAACTTAGCTCAAACACAGTTTTATATGCACACAAATTAAAATTGCAGTTAATGATGATGTGAAATCAATTGGAAGTCACAGCCAGGGAAAATTAATTTCTGTTATAGAGAAAGGCGATGATAATTTTAGAGATGAACTCTGAAAAACAAATCAATTTTAATATAAGACATGAAAGCAGCCTGGAGCTAGAAAACAAATTAGAAAGCATTTTTGAAGGCTTATTTATGATGCAGATAGGAAAGAAATGCTCTGTTTGTGTGACCATAAGCATATTTCAGAATCATTGACAAATGCATAAAAGAAATTAATGAGCAAGAGACATATCTGAATGTTGCATTTTACTGTTGTTCTATGAAACATGAGAAAAACAGAATGATTGCACTTAAAGATACAGTTGATCTAACATGTGCTGCATTTCAGCCAAAAGAACATTCACTTCATATCTTATTTCATCAGTTGCTGAAGCGCACCCAGATCAGAGACACAGCACAGCAGTGTTTAACTCATTGCATGCTTCCCTTCACATTCATTAAAAGTAGAAAGACAAGTGGGCTTTTTTCCTTTTTTTTTTTTTTCCCCCTCATATAAAACTAATAGGGGACCATAAGAAAACAGCCTGCAGTTATAGTTGGAATTTGACAGCAGCATAGAGATTAATACCTCCTATTTAAAAGAAAAGACATAACCACAGACACTTATGTTGTTTATAATGCCTTATTGTGATGTTTTTAATTGTAAGAAGTAAAGCCAGCGGATCAGAATCCTGAAACCTAATTATATTTTTTCCAGGACAAAAATCAGAGACTTCAGCCTAGTGAATAACAAATGTCACTACTTGCTTTACCTGTGATTGCTGGTGAAATCTTGCATGGCTCTGAATTTTTTGTGAAGGTATTCAGAAGTGAAATTCAGTCATAGAGGGCTGTTAGTGTTTTGATGGAAGGTATGGTGTCATTTGACCCAAAGATGCTACAGACATATGTGTCTGCTTTCCTGAGGAAGGATTGGTAATTATGTGGGGTGTAGGGAGGTTTTGTTGCCTTAGTTCAGAATAAACTTTCAGCAAGAATTCAGATGTAATCATGATTTACAAAGGATTTTGAACTCCAGAGGCCAAAGTTACACAAGCTGAATATTCAAAGTGTGGTGGCATACTAAAAAAACCCCAGAATACAGAGGCACACACATTAGTTGAGCCCATTTTGAGAAGTGAGTTCTGTTGTTCTTAGCCAACTTCAGAAATGACAATATAAATCAAACAGTATTCTAGATCATCTCAGTGTCCTCACTTTGGTTGATGATTTTTGCCCTTATGTTTTGCACTCATGATTTTTTTTTGCAATCTGCTTGCATTTCCAGCGTTGAAATCTTCTGCTTATTTTATTATGGAAACTATGATGTTGTTAGTTTGAGAAGTCAGTGATCTCTCTAGTGCTTAAGGAAAGGTATATAATGGTTTGGAACTAGTATCACAAATTAGGAAATACAAATATTTATAGATGGTTACCAAAATGTCTTGTGTAATAAAAATGTATTTGTTCCCAAGAATTATATCTTGCTGGCTACTCAATAGCTCCCATATGAAAGATTCAGGTTGCTTAAACATATATAATAGCATACAATATAACTGACAGGCAAAAGCCTCTTTCAGTGAGCACCTGAAAAAAATTACTTTTTCTACTACATTGCTTAGACTGTGTGAAGTAATTCTAAAGTCTGCCTTAATCACAGGCAGAATCAGGACCCTATCACCCAAGCAGGGGACCATTTTTACTCATCTGACTTAGGTATGAAGAAAGTCTCTCTTAGTTCTTAAGTTCTACTGACACGCGGGAGTTGGTCCAGGCTCTACATTTATTTATTTGGTGAAAGAAGCAAAAATACTATTGCAAAATGCCACACAAAGTTAAAATCACTGCAAAGTGATGACAAAAATAACATCAGAGGGGAAGATATAGGAGGAATATACCAAAAAGGGACCATGCGTTAGAGTGATGACTTTAAAAGAATAACCCAGTTAAATGGACATCTGTGCAAAGGTAACAGGAGTGATTCAGCAGATTTCTACAGAGCAGTGAAGGTTATCAGACAATGACGAAAGACTTTTGCAAAAGGTGCAGAATGGGAAACAAGTGCAATTAGTTTTACAGTAATTTTTCTCGCATGGTGTTAATGTAGATTACATAGGATCTGGCTCTCATCTGACACTAGAATAGATCAGTGACCTCAGAGGGTCAGAACATAGTGGAATTTGAATTAAGAAATCAAGGTCACAAACATTCATTTCATATACTTAGTTTTAATGGACCCTTAACAAACATTGTCCTGTTTTTGACACTGGTGAATATGAGTGGTAGGATTCAGGAGTGGGGAATGTCAGCATAATCGTCCCAGCAATACCCTGGCAATCCACTTCCATAGTGGCATATTGTTCCTCTGCTATCCTTCAATTGTCTGACCAAAGGGTGTTTGCCTATTGAAGCAGCCCAATGTCTATGGAAATTAAAGACCAAAGCAAAGCTATCAAATTCTTCTACATTTTTTGCTGTGGTCAATCCAGAAGTGCTTGTTTTGAGCAAATTATGTCTCTCCTCTGTTATATAAACCTATGTTTTTTAGAAAAATATGTTAGAAGAAACTCACAGCTCTATAGTAATGGAGAAAACTACAGGCAGAAATGAAGCCAAATGGCAATGAAGTACTTTGTGCAGGACAAGAAATGACCGGAGAAGAAGGAGGAAATGTTAATTGAAAGACTGTTATTTTTGTATTTGTCTATACAGAAATGCTCTCAGATTTTATCAAAATGCCATTTTTAGTTACTATTTTCTCACCTAGACAATACACTATAAAAATCTTTATAACAATTAATTACTTACTTTCTGGATACTTGTATCCTCAGTAAGGTACCTGAGCCTCAGATCAGAGCTCTCTCTCAACAGTTTTACAGTCATAGCATGCTTATTAAGGAGACCTTGTATTTCCAAGCAATCACCTTAGAAGCTTCACTACAAGAAAAGAATGTGCAAGAAGATTTGATAAGATTAGTGTGCACAAGCAATGCCATGCATTAGGTATGCAGCAGAAGAAACCCAAGTTGCAAGTCAAGTGTGAGACAAACTGTGACAACAATGCAAATCCATCCTCCATTTACAGTCCTTATATACTCACTGCAGGTCTAATGTAACCACGTACACCGTAGGTCTTGAAACTCTGCTGGTGTGACCTAAGCTTCTATGCGAAATGGCAGCAGACAGCTGTGTCTGCATAGGAGGCTAAATTATGGATAATGGTTGGGTTTCGTCCCTGTGGATTCTCCATCTGAACCTTTTTCCAGTTATAATAGAAAGGGATTTTTCTTACACATCAATCATAAAATCCTTTTTAAAGCTTCAGGACAGCAAATATCCGGGTAAATAAAAATGAATTAAAATGTGAAATCTGTTACATACCCTTCTGCCCTCCACACAGCGCTGGAGCTCCGGCTTGGCTAGCACAGAGTATCGGCGCGCCCGGGGGGGTCGGCAGCCGTGGGGCTGCCACGTTATTTCTCTCCAGTCGCAGGTCCTGTTGTCAGAGCAGCTGAGGCAAGGGACAATCCACTGCCCTGGAACACAGTAATGGGAAGTCAGCATCTCCTCTGTATTTTTGTAAGTAGTCTTATTATACAGCAAGCCAGATATTTCTGAGTATTTTGTCATGGGAGTTTTCCCTAAATTAAATGCCCCGCAACCCTTTGAAGAGACTATTTCCTTGCTTTGTGTTATGCCATTTTCATTTAGCAAGGATAGGAGTTTTTCCTTTCCATGAAAGAGCTGCAAATGCTCAAATTTGACAGTTGTGTGTGGGTTCATTTCTCAGTTCATGTTGCCTTTCTTGTAGCTGCTTGTCCTTTCTCCATAGAAAGGGGAAGGAGGTGAGGAGGCTGAATGGGGAGAGAAAATATTTCCATTCAGAGTGTCTAAAGGCAAGATTAATTCTCTTCTACCACTAAACATCTAAAAGTTGGGTGGTTGATCGAAGCTAGATTTTGAGAGGCCCTTGATAGAAAAATGAATTTAAGATTATACAGATAATGTACAGATAATGAGAGGATGTCTTTCCCTCAAAATACTAATTTCGTTAATTTATGAGAGTTCAGAGAACCATCCCAGACTTCACATATACACTTCAGCAGGTGAAAGTAAGGTGAGATGAATAACCTATGTGATTTATTACAGCCCGATCCCTGTTTTCAAAAATGATTTTACAGATTAAGAGCATAAAGTGGGATTACAAAAATTCAGTGGGTTTTAGGCATCTCTTACCTAAGCTTGAATGGGTTTGTTATTTTGGTTCTTAAAGCTATTAATTTCCAAAATCCTACTGGAAATCAGCGGTATTTAGCTTCTGAAGGAAGACAGAAAACTTTCAAGTTGCCTTTATATTCAGATCAACACAAGAAACACTTTTCTCACCCATACAAGTGCACCTGACGATATCTCCCAGCGTCTATGTAGCTCTGCCAGCAAAATCTGCTTTTGCTTTTGATTAAAGGCGTTACTCAAGTAAAAGCGCCGAGACCCCCAGGTCCTTGTGTCAATGCCACCAGGCGTTGCTAGCGCAGCCAGGTTTCTCATTGCAGCCCTGCAAAGAGCTCCAAAAGCAAATGTTTGCAGAGTAGACCTGGCCTTAGAGTTTGTGACTGTCGCTGCTACCAGACAGCAGCTCAGCAGCCATCCCGGTGTGCTTTGCTGTGTGTGACATCGCTGCAGCAGAAGATGCCGCAGCAAAAAACCAAGGCTGCTGCCTACCAACATTTATCAGGCCAGGGACTGAGTGGGAGGCTGAGCAAAGCAACTCTGCAGGATCCCAGCGGCCGTAGGAGAGACAGCTGCTGCCTCCGGAGCCAGGGAATTTCCAGGGAGGGAGCCCGCGCTTGCACTGAGCAAAAGTCCCAAGCAAGTATGATTTGAAAAGTAGCAAGGTGAGTTGTCTTAGCAGATAAAAGAGTCCTTCTAAATAAAACCATCAAGAGTTGCTTGTACGGGAGCCTGCACTGGTACCTCTAAGGGCGGAATGTATCCCGCAGTGCTACGACCATGCAGCTCCAGCTGCTGTGTAGCCTGCACAGCTGCTGCTTCTACTGCCCCATGCCAAACACGCTCACCCCACCCTCAGCTACCCTTGCAGATGATGGGGAGCAAACAATTGCCGACTGGAACTAAACAGCAGCCTGGACACTGACTTTACCGCGCTGTGGATCAGTGAGCGTAGCTCAGCTCCCCCAGTTCCCATGGGTGCCTCCTGAAGGCTGCCACTGGGAAGCAGCCCAGGTCAGCATGGCACAAGGAGAGGAAGGAGGGGTGCTCAGGCCTGCGCTGCTAGGGTGCAAGCGGGGGGATGGAGCTGCCCGGCGGTCCTTGCCCAGAGGAGTTCCAAACTTGCATCACCTGTGTCCTAATCACCTGTTTGTAAGGGATAACATTCCCCCACTCTTCTCATCAGCTGAGGACTGCTTTAAGGTTCAAAATTCATTAAGGAAGGAAAATAGCATGATTTACTTGGGTAAATAAATTTTTAGTAATTTATTTGGGAGAAAAGAGATCCAAACTTTGGTTCCTGGATGATATTCTGTGTAGACTTTTTATCTAGAAGTTAAAATGAATCTTTATCTAAAGGTACAAAGTGGATAACCAGGTTCCGGAGCAGGGAGTGCTCTTCCAGCCCTAGCTGGGAAACTGAGGGCTGAATTTAGACAATTCCTCTTTCTTGCAGCCTCCAGTGCTTACCGTTGTGAATTCCTTCCTCGCTCTGGCCCTCCCTTGGCTTTGATGTCCCTCACTCCAGGCTGTGGCCTCCTGGCCACCCCTGGGGCCAGGCATGCTTTGACCCTCCAGATTTCTATGCCCTTAGTTCCTGCCATGCTCCCTCTGCACCCCATTTGCAATCCGTGGCTAAAGGGTCATTCCCAGCTTCACAGCAGTCGTCTGAAGAGACTGAAAAGTGCAAGGTCTCAGATAGCACAGCAATAGGTGCCATGCGAACACCTTTTATTGCTTTGTGCCTTTTGCGTAGCAGAGCAGGGACAGAATGGTTGGCCGATTTGAGGTCTGGACTCAGAGACTACCACTGCTGTAGAGCTCATCATAAATCATCTGAAATCTGTTTTGGGCAGTGGTTTATATTTAAAAAATATATGAATACTGGGCAGTTTTTTCCTGACATTGTAATTTTTCTTTCAAACCAAGTATGTGAAAGTTCTGGCAATGTCGACAACATCTGAGATCCTTCATTTTATGGTATTTTCTTCTTAACATCCCATACATTTATGAGCTGATCTGGTTTTACGTAATAAACTAGAAAAGTAGAACTATATAAAATGAATATTGAGGAGTTGAAACATCTGAACAATAAAAGTTTAAACTTTGGCAACTGAAAGTGATAAGTACCTTTTGAAAAGCTTCTTTCAAATAGTGTATTTGATTTATATTCAATAGCTCTCTAGGTATATTAAGAAAAAAATACATCTGTTTTTGGCATATGCTAAAGGTTAGTAGCAAATGTAAAAAATGAGAGAACAAGCATATGTGGAGATAAATTTGTTTATAGGAAGCACTGACATTTAATTCTAATAGAACAGTTGCAGCTTTTATATTTATATAGATTTTTTTAAATGATGCATGTAAATTTATGCATTTTTAATCCACTTATTATTAACTTTTCCCATTGTAACTTCACAACAGTTAGTCAATGCATTCCTAACCTTCAAAAATAAGATGGTGTTAAAAGATAAAATTGAACTCATATATAAAAGAGGGAGACAATTAACAATGAAAAATTGCAAACAAACAATATTAGTTTGGAAATTAAGCTTATTTTTTATTGCAATTGTAACTTGTGGTTTTTTCCCATTTATATAAAGTAGCAGCACACAATGTAGCTTTCAGCACCATTTCAATCAGCCTGTGTTTTGTGGTGCTTCAGCTAAAAGAGTTAGCATTGGCTTTACCAGGCAAAGGAAAGTTTACCTACGATTCACTGAGAGCAAGAAAGAGGCAGTTGCTGTTAGTTTAAGTTTATCCCCAAATTAAAAACTGGTAAAAACAAAGTTTTAGGAAAGCCTGTAAATGAAAGGTTTCCCCAGGAAGAGTGAAAGTAAAATGGATTTTTGGCTCATTAAAGCAGTTTGTCAGTTGCATACATAAATCTTCTGCGTAAGATACAAGATTAAATATTGCCAGTGCTCCCAGAAACGGTTCTAAAATGGTATGAAAAGAAACATACTTTAAAAAAAATTCATTAGGATTGTTTACCTTGTATTTAAAAAATAGTACCTAAGTTAAAAAGTTTTAACCAATAAAGGTTGTACACTTAATTTGATAGTTTTGTTTCTTCTGGATAGGGCTTTCAGCCTCTTTTGTTTTTATTCAACCTTTCCCATTGTCATATCCACAAATACATATTTTGCTTTCAACATCAAATTCAAAGTTTTTCTATAGTGCCAAACAATTATCCATATAAAAAGAAAAAAAAATGCTAAACTGACAACTCCAAATTTAAATATTTAACCTAAGCTGATGCTAAAGATAATTTGTTGATTTCTGACTAGTTTACTTTTACATTTGGTGTCTATTTGGCATTCTAAGAAAAAATGTTTTCTCTGTGAATAGGGTATAGAAATTTATTTCTTTGCTTTTAGCTGCATTTATGAACAACAAAAGCAAAATTATTTTTAAAAGGGTGTGATTTTGTTGCTGCAGAAGAAATGGCCTTAGGCCTACAAACTTATGTCCAAACAGAAATTTACTCTTTGCAATCAAAGGAGATGCTCATTTGGTTGAACATCAGTTTATGTCTCTGCTGGACCTAAATCCAGATAGCTGTTGACTGCAAAGAGAGAGCTTGTACGGAATTACGTTAAACTGGATACAGTTGTGGAAAATGTGGAAGACTGGATACAAGTAAAACATGTATGTCATAGGAGTGAGGCAGAACATTAGAAGTGAAGCTGTGATCTCTTACCCACCAGATTTTGTACTTGTCTGCATGCCAAATTTCCCCAGACTGCAGTAGCCCAATTCACCTGCAGGAATTTAGCACAACTTGGGGTTCTCAGGGTCTCTATCAGCTGTCTCTCTCTCTGAGGAGCTAAACACATGCTTAGTGCTCGCTGACTTCTGTATTGCTGATAATACAGCAGTACTGAACAGAGAGGTAATGTTCCTGTCATAGCCTGGTTCAAACCCCATTGAATCAAAGGGGGTTTTTTTCTGAAGGAAAAAGGATTTTTGTTGCTTTAAAAATCACAGTTTCATTCCATGATCCAAACCAGATGAAAAGAGAGAAATTTCCCCTGTTGATTATTGCAATTTGTATTTATTGATTAAAAAAAAAAAAAGAAAGGGGGGAAAAAATGGAAAGAGAAAAGAAGAAATGGTGTAAATTAAGTGCATATTTGGTAAGATGCTGAGCTTCCTCCAAAGAATTGTGCCCCGGTGACTAGGACAGGACGTGTCAGTTCTGCCTCTGGTTAGACCCCGAACTACTGTCTCTGCACTGCATCACGGGACTAGAAATGAGGCATGAAATCCTGGTTGTAATGCACTGCAAAGCAGACTTCTAAGTTTTACCATTAATTTCACAGGAACAAAGGTTTTGTCTCTAGCTCTGCCCATATGTGCACAAAGGCAAGCTTTTGCCAGCGTAGATCCATTTTGCAGGGATAGTACCTCAGTATCGCTATACAACTTAGCTGCTCCCTGGCGTAAGAGCAATGTACAACGCTGACTTACTTCTGCAGAATTTTTTGAGTTCTCTTCGAAGAGGAAACAGGACACTGCTTGGCTTCTCTGAAAATTTAACTTATTTAAATAAAAGAGGTGTTGCTGCTTTAGCTGGGAATTCGCAATTGCTCCCACATGTGTTAGGAAAATGTTCTTTTCGTTGGGATATCATTTGGTTGTTACAAATTTGGAATGATTTTCCACAAAAAGCCATGCTTTCCAGTTCCAGTTTGAAGTTGTGATGTACATTAGAACTATACAGCCACTTGTTGCCAGATACTGCAAACCCTAGTTCTAGGCTCACTAGACACCTCTTGGCAATCTTCGCTTTATAAGCAGAAATTATTCTTCCCTGTTTAATATACTTGTCCTTTGAGACTACATCTCCTGAAGTTTGTTTCCATTTTAACTGTGTATTTTATTAGCAATAAGGCTGTAAAAGGTATTTTACATTCAGCTTCACTTAGCTTAGATGCAGTATTCAAAAGCAGCATGTCATATCAGGAGAAACAGATTGTCTGCCCCAGAAGGGCTCTGCTGTTGATTTGGTTTGGGCTTTCTAGTCAGGAACTTTATGTCCTGATATAGTAGCATAGGATGGACTGTGCTTCTTTACGATTCACAACTTGCTGTGTGATTAAAGTACGCTGCTATGTACAACACTGTCTCCTTTGTGTGTTCCCTTCATATAACACAAAATTAATATATGCCTCTGTTTCACATGAAGTGATGCATTCAGGCAGTTCCCACATTCCTTTTGCTTTGTATTGATTATTCCATGAGTTTGTGCAAATTTACTTCTGCGAGAAGCTGCTCCTATCTATGACAAGATAAAAAATACAGTTGTGTTAGTAGACCATGCAGGAGTGCCGGGTTACTTTTCATTTGTCTAATAAAGAATTGAACAAAATTACTTATTGTCTAATCCAGCAACAACTTAAGCTATGAATAAGACTGCATATGCGAGTAGTCCTGTGGATTACTCAGATTTGTTAAAGTACACTTGCATAAATCTTCCTGCAGCTGTGACCTAAACATGAATCCCTGTCCGACAATCTGTTGTAAACTGGGTTCTCACTAAACCAAAGAGACGTCTTGATTGTGCTGCTTATTGCATAATGTTTGATTTGTCCATCTTCTTTTTTAAGATATCAATATATGTAAAAACACATACTTCACTGTTTGAAATGGTAAACTGATTTTGTGCTTCCAATCTAGAAGTGGGAATATAAAATTCAAATGTATCAAAATGTTGTGTTCTTTTTATAAAGGTACTTTTTATTTTGAGTAGATAATCCCTTCCATTTAGAATAAAGCATTTTTATTTTAAATGGTTTTGATGGAAATATTTTAATGCATTTTAAAGGCTACATGACAATAACACAAGCAGTGGTGGGTCACTGACTGGAAACTTACTAAACAAAAAATTGTCACATAAACTAATTAACCGGATTTTAAAAATCTGTGACTATTAAAAGTGATTAGTTAAATTTATTGTGCATAGGTTAGTGCATGTCCATAGAAAAGAGGAAACGTTTTTTTCTAGTTTTACTTTGATGAGGTGCATGAGATAATTTTCAGAAGAAAGAGGATTAAGTACAAACCTTTTGTGTCTCCAGCTTCACAGGTCTTAAACACTGTCTGTGAAATTGCTGAGAGGTATTCATGAGACAGAGGCTGCAAACCACAGGACTCCTCTGGACGAATTCGAGATCCACAGTCCTGAATTAAAATGAAATCTGTGAAAATGACAGCACTGCACCTATCCATGTGACTTTGAAATCCTCTTCAAGGACATTTAAAGAGGAAAAATGTTATTTGCATTAATTCATTCATCCGTTGCTCTTCAATATATATTTTTAATACAAAATTTAGAACTCTCCATTCAGACAATGGTTTTGTAATAAATTATCCCAATCCATAGTAAATGTACAAGATACTACATTTGCTAAAGAAATAAGAAAATCTATTAAGGCAAACTTATAGAACATTCATGTAATGTCATGTTGTCTCTACTTATTGTACAATCTCTACCTATTTGCCCTTAGCAATTTTGTATGCATATCTGCAGTCATATGGAATACATTTCTGTGATGAAATGCCCCAAATTAGCTTCAGGAGATACGGGTGCATAAAGAAAGAAAAAATTAGGAAAAGAGAAAGAAAAAATAAAAATTTCAAGGGGAAAATGTTTGAGCTAGTAGAGGGGTTACACAAACCTATTAGGGCACTGAAGGAAAGGATTCATTATAAATATAAACTTCTGATGTGGTCTTCATGTGAGATGTATTCCATAGCAAACCTCAGACAGTACTGTAAGGGTAACATAATTTTTTATGTTTAGAAACGTTCACCTTTTAATTAATTTTCTTCATAGAAAAGAATTTGACTTTTTTTTACATTCTAGTTAAAGAAGAGTTCACAAAGGCCCACAATTAACACAGAAATATGTTATCTGTGTTTATGCTTAGATACAGAAATACGGACTGGTTATTAAATCAACAGAATGCAGTAAAGAACTAGAGACCGCTAATGCAATGGCATACACTGTAAACACACTTCATAAGGAGCTGAATTTCTCACACTTTGATCATTTCTGATAAATTTTATAGAGATTAGCAGAAACATATATGAGAATTAATTAACATCAGATGCCTAAAAAATTAGCAGTAACAGCCTGGAATACCAATCAATCAATTTGAAATTAACTTTCTTAAAATTTGCAAATGAAACTATTATTGGTCTTTAGAAAACTTGAACAATATTCTATATGGAAGGCCAGAGGTGCCAGCAGCTCCCAAAAATTTCAAAAGAAATAAATATCCAAGTAAATAGTGATTCCCTACCATAAGTTTTAGCTCATGTGGGTTCTTAACATTTTAAGTAATGGGCTATATTAACTTTGTGCCTTACAGTTATAATGTTCAAGCATCCACCAACACGATATAAATGGCATCACGGCATTTGTGACATTGGGCAACTCTTTTGGTAATTTTAGGTGTCTGCAGTATATATGGCTGCATAAGTTGCTCATTCTAGTTTTCCTTTATCATTCCGGCAGAGAGATAACATTCCTAGGACACTTTTAAAATCTGTTTTATATGTGTGCTTCAGGATAAAATTAATCATATCCTAAAAATGCCTGCCTTCCTCAACTGTAAAAAGAGTTTAGAACAATTCAGAGGCATATATCTACATCAGTTCAGATGAATGTCTCTTCAAATTACTTTGTAAAAATACTCATCCTCCATAATGTATTGCCCAAACTGGTGCTATGGCCAGTTGTTTCACCAGAAGATAGGAGCATTCTGGGGTCTGTGTTAGCTTAAGAAATAGTGTCTACTGTCTCACACTTCATTGTGTCACCCTCATTTCTGTATTGTGACAAGCTTACCAGGACACAATGAGGTTTTTTTCACCAAAACCAAAAAGCTATAAAACTGCAACTTAAAATACAGAAAAAGATCATTTTATGACAAAGGAGAAACTATTACAAAAATTTAACCATGACAATCAGCACTTAATGTGCTTTTATTTTTAAATACTGTATGAAAGGTCCAGTTGTGGCCCTTTCTGGCTAAACTGAATATTATTTGCCTTTTTAAAGAATTACATATGCTTAGTACTACTAATTAGGTACAAACAAACTACACATATGGAAACACACTTTTACTGGAGGATGTTTATTTGAAGAAAGAGTATTCTTGAAACCAAAAAGAATAATAAAATATGATTTCTCCAAATAGAAAAAAAAAATTTCATTGGTCTTTTCTTCACTGAAGTGTGCTGACTGCTATTTTTATTTTCTAAAATAATATTAAAATTAATTTGGTAACTGTCATGTAATATCATTCACCATTTCCATGAAATTATGCTACATCTAGGATGCTATGCCTAAATTGGACCAATGAGCAAATGACAATTATGTCCTAATATTGTCAAGGTGAAACTTGACAGTTAGTAGGATTTGTGCCACTGATATTGGTGGAGATGTGAATCCATCCTGGAATTTAGTAAATACCAGTGGGTCTTGATTACGCAATCAAAGCCCAAAGTAAAATAGTTGTCTCACAATTATTCTGATCTCATTAAATCCCACAGTGGGGGAAAAAAAAGTAAAAAAAAAAATCTTCCCACTGACTTCAAAGGGTTGTGCTCATTTTTATGCACAAAAAGTCAGAGAAATGCTAGAGATGTGTGGGTTCTTTTGTACAGTTGTCCTGTTCTCTGCTTAATGCTCTATCACTAGGGAAAGCTGTTATGACAAAATGAATGGCACGGTATCTTCTAGCGTTAAACTGTGAAGTTGTCTTGGAGCCTCCGGGTCTGGACACACTGTACAGCTATTTGACAGTATTACTTCAACTAACATTAACATCAGAAAGCTCCTACCTTGCAGTAAAACAATTTGCACAGGACTTCACAAGAAAGCCCGAAATTCCTGAATGTGCCGCCATTGCTCTCAACATAGTGCCATAAAATAACTTAACAGGGATTTTCTTGTTCATACCCCTGCCCAGGGATGTGTTTAAACAAACAAAAATTGATTTTAATTGCATTCCTTGGACAATATAATTAACAACACTTTCATGTGTCTGGTTTATTACTAATCACAATCAATATGCAGGTCAAACTATGTCACCGGTTCCCTTTGACTTCATTGTATTTTCAAAGTATGCAAACCATGAATTTTAAAGGACACTGCTTGTGTTTCATATGTAATTCACATCTAAAACTACAGAGTCATGAGATATTGTGAAACACTGAACAAGCCTTATTTGTTTCATGTTTACTTTTGCAGGAGACCGATCCTTTATCATCATTGACATATTTAATATAAAGTGCAAAATGAACCTGCAGCAGCCACAGATTTGCCACAGCTCCGCCAATGTATGGCACATTAAGGGCTTTTTTAACCGTCTGCAGATTTTTTAAAGTTTTCTTCAGGTGCTGCAGTGACATGACATCCTTCTTGCCTTGCCCAAAGATGAAACATCTTGTGATCTTAAGTATGTTTACAAAAGATCACTCATGGCAAAGATGAGAGCCAGACACGTAAACTTAAATGACAGCTCTTTCTCTGTGTCTGTTCTCCCTGCAAACCTTCATTTTTAAAGGCAGACATAAAAAGGCCCTTCAAATGTCTGGACTAGAATAAAAAAAAGTTCCACTGCATTACGTACTTCAGTGCACAGTTAGAATTGACTCTTTATAACACAGGTTTGGCATTTTACTAGTAAACTTTGTTTTATCTTTACAGAAGATTTTCTGGACCCTAGCAAATAAAAGAGGAATAAAGCCTTCCTATATACCTCTAGATAGCTTTCAGTCAACACCAGCTGATAGATACTTAGACAGTGAAGATTTCTGGAGTCCATCTGCTGTGTGAAAAAAAAATTGTTTCTGTTCAGAGCACACTACAATGAACTTGATTCTTCATAAAGGGAATAAGTTTTAGTCTTTATGAAGAGATCACATATTTTTGAGCCTGCTACTCTACAGTTTTCTCAAATTATTAATTTGGAGTTTTTAATGCTGATGTTATTTCTTTTATTTATAGTCTAGGTGCCTGAGTTAACAAGAATTTTGTTTAGCTCAGCTTTCAAGAATGATACTGTATTTTGTCTCAATTACATATGCATATGCATATAGATACATAGTTTCACTCAGGTTTACATAAATATTAAAAAAAAACCCTACCAGTTTTAAAATCATATAGAAGTGTGTGGTTGAGAGAGAGAGTGAGCTAACCAAAGCATTATAGAGATGATCCACAGTCATGCAGCTAATACCATGGAATGAATGTCATATAAATAATACCATTGTAGTTGCAATTATGCTTTAGATTAAGAGATGTAACTTAACCAGTAATGAATTTTTACTTGCTGTTGTACCTTTTTACCACCTCCGCCCTAATGAAAGAATGATTACTCTGAAATTGCAGTAGTTGCCTACAGATTAACCCCATAAACTTCCACCAAACTGGAAGCAGTTAAAAGGAGAGAAGGTAAGAAGCCCATGACTTCCCTGGGAAAACTCATATTGCATAGGGACAAACTGTCCACCTGTGTTCATTGGAATGGTCAGTGCTCCGGCAGTGACAGAGCACCAGATAACAAAAATAAAGTTACTTTTAGCATCTACAGCTGCTGCTACCTGTCAGCTCAAAAAAGGCATTTTAAAATAGGAAGGTTAGGATTTTCAGAATTTTTCTGGAATAACCCAACTCTGTCCATTCCAAGCTGTTGCTAAAACTATCATTTTCAGTGGAAGTAGACTTGTGTTAATGAATTGAATGCTTTGGAAACTCCCACCCAGGATGCCTGTATCTAGGCTCTACACTCAGCTTTCTCAGTAAAAGTCCTTCTTGCATTTGTATTAAAACCCCCAGCAACCAATGGGAATGGTGGGCTCAACACTTCAAAAAACAGGTAATTTCTGCTTAGGTACTCATGTCTGAAATTGCACGCAGCCCAAATCACTGAAGACTACCCCTACCAGATCAATAAATGATCAGCGTATCAGAATGTTTTAAACTAAACAACAAGAGAAATATAACTAAGCTCACAGGAATTCATTTTAGCATTGCATACAGCCAACACGTAGCCAAAATCCTGCATCTTTTTAACATCCAGAGCTCACACGTGTCTGGGAACTAGTGGATGAGATAAACCTCATTCACTAGTTCTTGGCAAAGAAGGGAGGAGACCTCTCCCCCCATG